CAAATTCTGTTCTCCTGCCTCAGCCTCCCAAGTGCTAGGCTTACAAGCATATACCCTTATGCCTACCTCAATTTGTCACTTTTTAGTATATTCAGAGTTGTGCAACTGTCACTATAGACAATGCAGAAAATTTTCATGAGCTCCGAAGAAACTTTATACCATTAATAGTCACTGCATATATTTTTCTTTTCCCATTTCCTAGAAACTATTCTACTTCCTACCTCTATAGATTTCCTTATTATGGATATTTCATATACATCAAACTGTACATTATTTGATCTTTTGTGATTAGCTTCTTTCACGTGGCTTTTTTTTTTTTAATTTGGTACAGGGTCGGCAGGACCTACAAGGTCTCACTACATAGATAGGACTCATAGTAATTCTCCAGCTTTCATCCTCCCAAGCACTGGGATTACAGGCACACGCCACCATGCCCAGTCTCAATTGCCATCTCATTGTGGGGCCGGCATGGCATGCCAGGGATCGAACCCCTGCCGCTGCCCTCTGCCTAAGCAGGAGCTTTAGTCCACTGAGCTATCTGGCCAGCCCTCACGTGGCATGTTTTCAAAACTTATCCACATTGTAGCATGTGTCAGTGCCTCTTTTTCTTTTAAAGGCAAATAAAATTCTATCATATGGGTATGTTGTATCTTTTCCATCCTTTCATCAGTTAATGGACATTTGAGTTGTTTCCATCTTTTGTCTAATACTGTCATGAATGTCCATATACATATTTTATGTGAATATGTTTCCTTTCTCTTGGGCATAATATTGGTAGATTGTATGATACCTACATTTAACCCTTTGAGAAAATGACGCTTTTCGAAAGCTACACTATTTTGTACTCCCACCAGCAGTATATGAGATTCCTAATTTCTCCACTTTTATTTATTTTTATTTTTATTTATTTATTTATTTGTGGAACCAGGGATTGAATTCAGGCCCTTGTACTTGCCAGGGAAGCGCTTATTCTACTGAGCCATCTCCCCTGCCCGATTTCTCCACTTTTGCTTACACTTGATATTATCTTTTTTTTTTTATTCTAGTCATCTTAATGGACTTGAAGTGGTTTTCCATTATGGGTTTGATTTGCAATTCTCTGATGACTGATGACATTGAGTATGTTTTCATGTGCTCACTGGCCATTTTTGTCAGCAACTTTGTATCTTTCTGATCATTCCTCTGACCACCACCTGGGAAGGTTCTCTACTTTAAAAGCCTTATGGCATTAGATATTTTCACATAGATAATCCAAGATAATCTCAAAAATATTTCACCTTAATTCTATCTGTAAAGTCCTGTTTGTCAAGTATGATCATATGTTCACAGGTTGTGGGTATTACAATGTAAGTAATCTTTGAGGGGCATATCTGAATAACACACCATAATAATAATGTCGTTTCATACATAAGCATAAATTTTCCATTTATATAGAGAACTTTCAATTACTTTCAATCATATTTTATATTTTGGGTGTCTTATAATTCTTTTGTTAGTTTTTAAAATTATTTTATTCTTTTGGAGCAACAATGAATGAAATTAAATTCTTAATTTAGTTTTTTTATTCTCTATTGTTATAATATGGACATATATTTATCTTTAGGTTTTGATCTTGTATCCTGCAACCTTCTTTTTTTAAATTTGTTTGGGTTTTTTGAGACAGGGTCAAAACTAACTAACTATGTAACCTAGGTTAGCTTCAAAGTTGGGGTGATTCATCTGTCTCAGCCTTCTGAGTGTTGAGATTACAGGCATGTTCCATCATACCTGGTTCCTTGAACTCATTTTTCTAATAAACTGTGTATAGATTTCTTGGAATAGTCTTTTTTTAATTTAGGGAAGGATCTACAGGGTGTTCATGGTCTCACTACTAGATTGGGCTTGTAGTGATCCACCTGTTTACAGCCTCCCAAGAGCTGGGATTACAGGTGCATGCCCCCATTCCCAGTCTCAATTGCCATCTCAGCGTGCCCTTGGGGCAGGGCTGGCATGGCAGGCCTCAGGACCGAACCCCCAGCCCCTGCACCTGCTTGCAGGCTCTTTAATCCACTGAGCTATTTGGCTGGCCCGGTATAGTCTGTATTAATGATAATGTTGTCTGTGAATAGAGGTAGTTTTACTTCTTCACTTTGGATGTGAATACTTTTTATTTATTTTTCTGTCTCATGACCCTGGCCAAATTTCCAATATAGTGTTGAAGTGGTAAGAGCAGACATCCTTGTTTTGTTCTTGAAGACAATTGGAAAATATTCTATTTTTAATCACTAATAATAATGTTTACTGTAGATTTTTCTTTTTTAATTACAGTTTTCTTTTATTTCAAAGAGCTAAAAACAAATAAAACAAAAACAAACCAGAAACAGGGTGATGTAAACAATACATACCCTAACCCAAACCCCGCCCCCAGGGTGCACTGAGACAGCAATTGAGACTGGGTGTGGTGGCATGTGCCTGTAATCCCAGCTCTTGGTGGGCTGTAAACAGGTGGGTTGCTATGAATCTCCAGTAGTGAGACTTGAACACCTTGCAGTCCTTTCCCTAAAAATACAAAAGAAAAAAAGTTAAAGAAGTAAAGATTTATTTAGCTCATAGGTAGTAGAGGTTTCAGACCATAATCAGTTGGCTCCAAGGCAGGGTGACTTCAGAGAGAAGAGCAATTCATGGTGATCAGAAAAGGCAAAGCAACAGGGAAAAGGGGAACAAGCCTCTTTCTGTTCCTCATACTGTATATAGTGTACCACAATTAGGGCAGTACCAGTCCAACATTGACCCAACCTTAATCTCACCATTGCACCAGAAATGAATCACACAACTAGATTCAGCCACCTGCAAAGAGAAAAAAGAAAGCCCTATGATGGCATAAGGCTTTGAAGGGGGGACATCTAGACACAAACCATAATACTTATGGTCTAAACTTAAGAGTTGAAATCCTTGCTCACAGGTATCCATCTGTCTCCTCCAAATGCTCATCACCAAAGCTTGATTGTTTAAATGTGGAATCATTTTTTAATATTAATTTTATTGAGAAAGAAGTAGCAATGAGACAGTTTCAAAACAAGTTAGTAGGACAGTTACAATAATTAATACATTGCATATTGTTGTTTTCATAGCAGTTAATTCATAGGACAAGATGCAGATATGATATCTTGTCTATACACTATTAGTTCAAAACTTGCCTCTCATTGAACTAAGAGAAAGTAGCTGTATATCTATGCTAACTATTTTGTATATACCGATTTTTTTTCACTACAAAATGATCCTTCATTTATGTCCATCTTATTTGTTTATTTTTGTCAGAGATGGATATTCCATTGCCATTCATATATTGTAGGTGCATCAATTCAGCAAAGTAATCCAATATGGTACAGTAGTCTATAATCGTAGTGGTTATCCACACGACTGGCAATGTCAGAAGTTGTTAACTTGAGCCTTTCACAGCTCAGCATATTAATATGGCTTTGCTTTTTATACCTCATTTTTATACTTTTCTGCTGGATGGTTAAGACCAACATAAAGCAAGAACTATATAACAAAAAATGTAACTTTTGTATCTGACAAAGTCAGTCAAATCCCCTCAGGATTTACCCTGAAGCCCTGCACAGCATTTTGTAGATATTTATGTCTAAGATGTTTGATATTCAGACAGATACTGATGTTAAGCTCAACAGCCTATATTTTAGGGTAACAGTATCATTAAGCTTCTCTTATGGAAGGTTAACAACTTAAGTTGCAGATGAAAACAGAGAAAAAGAAGGACTACAAGGACAGCCAACATTGTGGACCTAGCTCTTCAAGGTCAGTGAGGGCTTGGGACATAAGAGAACCTCCTGTACTATAACATCCTGTAACTCAGTGGTGTCCCAAATTTACTGATCAAGGAGATTATGGATTCACAGAGGAAAGTGATTGATGATGTAGAGTGTGCCTAAGGAGAGTCATATGGAGGGAAAACATTCTCTCAAGCTTTCACAGAGAGCAAATTGGTCAAGCAATGGCTGTGACCCATCCACATGGCTGACACTGATAAATGTGAAATATTATAACCTGAACTCCTTCATATTCTATTTCAAATAAAGTCATTTCTTTTGAGAATAGATTGGAAGCTCTCTTATAAGCAGCCTTTAACTTGGGGAAAATCATGAAGTGAATATTTTTAGTACTGAGCAGTGGAAATAGCCATTGGTCTTCTTGGTTACTTTTTCAGATCTGAAATTAGTTCTCAAAATGAGCTGGGCTAAAGTAATCAGTATATTAAGCCCTCTATGCCTGGAACAGAACCTCTGTTGTGTGGGTAAGGGCTGGCTACAGGAAGCAAGCCTCTGAATTCTTGGTCATAGTTGTCAAAATTTGTGTTGGATGTGTTGAGTATCCCTTCACATCTGTGTTGGAGTTGATGAGGAATGTTGGCTGCTTGAGCTTCCCACTGAGACACTGTATCCTTTGAGTGAGAGCTGGAGGCAGAAGGAACCTAGTCTTCTTGGCTATTCTTACATGACATGTAACTTGTATCAAGGTGAGGGAAGGATGGGGAGTAGGAAAGGAGTGGATTGTAGCTCCTGTACCATAGAGTTTCACTGTTATATTACTGAGATTTAGTGGGTTCTTGAATAAATGTTTCATTTGCTCTATGCCCTTAGAAAAATTTTCAGCGTTTCTAACTAAAAAATACTCTGCCAATTATGGATATTTCACTAAGGAACAGTTCCACAGGGTTTTTAATGCACAGTTTTGAAAATGGATTCCTTTCCTTATATTGACTTTTTTAGAATTGTGTAATTTTGTGAAGGTGGTAGAATCCTGGCTATATACTAAGGTGTACAGATGAATTATTTTTTTAAATCAATCATTTAATATTTTTCATTTAATATTTTTACTATTTTTATTAGCTTTAAAGGTATAACACTTTGTTTTTATTTCTCCATATGTGAATGTTGTAATAATATTGTTTCATTTTTGAAAAATTATTTTTAATGACACATCTTTCTGCTTGCTACTGTGAGTTTTAGGTTTGGTTCCATCATCTACTGCTGTCACTACTACAGTTAGTTCAAGCACCATGCTGTTTACTACAATATCAAATGTTTCTGCCTCCACAGCTGCTACGGAGCTCTTATGTAAGTTATATTTATTTCAAAGAATAATGTTATTTTAATTTGGCAATGTGAGCTACAAATCTGTATGGTTCACCTGCATCTAATAAATTATTGTGTTTTCTTTGAAATGAATAACATTATGATTTTTTTTTTTTTTTTGCGGAACCAGGGATTGAACTCAGGCCCTTGTGCTTACTAGGGAAGTGCTTATTCCAGTGAGCCATCTCCCTGGCCCTAAATTATTGTGTTTGAACTAACTATTGCTCTCAATAGTAGCTTTGCTTAGAGCCTAATTGTCATGGCTTTAGCTCTAAAGTATTTTTTGTTAACATGGTTATTACAATATGGTAATTGTAGCTTAAAATGATAAATTTAAGCATCTAATTCATTAACTCTATGATATTTTGAAACAACTTGAGTTTACTAAGAATAGGAAGTGAGAGTTTTTCCAAGTGTGTCTTAAGGGACAAAGTTCCTATTATCCATGTGAAGAAAACAAAATGTCAAAGAAATGTTGGAGAATTGTTATAGATTATTCTTCTATATAGACCAAGTCTATGGTCTTTACATTGTATCTGTCAAAAGAGGGACATGGCCAAGAATCAGCTATAGTTACAGAATTCTAATTGATACTCATGTGATTTGTGTGTGATGTCTCAGGACCTTGCCTCTGAAGAGGACTATCTGAATGCTTTGAGTTGAGAAGTAGATCATTAATTATCTTGTAATTTCTACTTCTACATTACTAGATCTTCCATTAGTAGACTAATATATACAATAAAAATATTGAATTTTGTCTATATCCTGGGTAATTTTTTTTGCAGATACTTATAAACTCACTGCCTTTGAGGTATTTTCACAGTGCCTTGAAGTTCATTGTTAAACTTTGTTGTATTATAATCTTAGCTGCAATATGGTCCCCTCTAAGTTTTGTGATAGCAAGATTGTTTGTATTTATGGGTACCAAACTTTCCAAGGCATTCTGACACTTAGGATAGCCTGACAAATAGCAGTAATACTCACCCACTTGTACAGTTAGGATAGGATGATATTAGTTAGAATTGTTGGTTATTACATGATCTGCATTTTCTGTTAAGACTTCAGTTTTGAGACATGACTGTGATTCTAGAATCATTTTGAGACATGTAAGTAATGTCTTCAAATATAATGAGTTTAATGAATGTCATTTGATGAATACAACCATGCCAAATATGAGATTTACAGTTAAATTACTGAATTAAATGTAATTCTATGTTTAAAAACTTGCCATCTGACTTTTGACAGGTTTTTCCCCTTTCTGCCTCTGATGTCCTTCCCTACAAAATGAAAAGATGCCTGAATCACAGTATATTTAATTAACTTTAATTAATTATAGTTTGCATATCATAAAATCAAACTATTTTAAAGGTACATGTCAGTGTACTCAATTGTATACTCACTATTATCTACTTTTAGCACCTTGTCCTATTACAGATCACCATACTATTTATTCTATTTTCTATCTCAGTAGATTTGCCTTTTTTGGAATTTCATGTAAATGGATTGACTATGGTTTTTTGAGTTTCTATGAGACTTTTACTATTCTACATAAATTTCTCAATTTTTTATTAAAGGGTGATAGTTAATTCTGTCTTTTCTCTATAGTTGGTGCTCCAACAACCTCAACTAGAATACTTGGTGGTATAACATTGGAATTTGGAATAGAATTCTCTGGAGTAGGCGAAGCAGCTTCCACATCTAGTAAGTTTTTAGAATTATTGGGATGTGTTGGGACACTAATTTGAAATGTACTATATAACGAACAGTAAATACATAGCATTTTTACAGCTTCTAGGACTGTCAAAGTGTATTGTGATTATCTTGTCATAGTCTCCAATGCTATGCCAATATAGAAGATTGCCAAAGGGAAAAATGAGACAGCTGATATCAGTGCTAATACTTTTTTGACCATTCATCCATCAATGAACAATGAAGTAATGTAACTGATGTCCTGCCTTGAATATTGCCCATTGACTATTATGTATTGAAAATCATAATGTATCCCACAAGTATGTATACATACCATAAGTTAAATAAAATTTATAATTAGGGTGGGAAATATAGCTCAGTGAGAGAACACTTTCTTAGTATGTGCTAGGCCTTGGGTTTGATACCAGCATTGAAAACAAATGTTTTAAATGGTATTTCTTTGACCATAGACAAAATTATTATCACACTCTTGTCAATTTGACACTTAAGAATTTATTACTGATAGTGTTTAATATGTTGGGATTAATGAAGGTTTTTTCCTCTCAATATTAAGTTTTGTCCTCTAGTAGAGTCAATCTTCTCCTAAAGTTGTTTCCAAACTATCCAAAGTTTGTTTTTATCAATGAGGAGCTAGTCAGGTTGTAGATGAAAGAAAATTTTGTTACTTATTGTCTGTAGCTAGTGTGAGCTAGGAGATCGTGATTCATTTGCTTTTTAAACTGACTATTTAGGGACCAGGAAGATAGCTCAGTGGAATAAGCATTTCCCTGGCAAGTGCAAGAGCCTGAGTTCATTCCCCGGTTTTGCCCCCCAAAAAATAAAAATAAAAAATAAACTGACCATTTAAGAAGGAAAGTCTTTTTTTATTTTTAATTTGCTTAGGGCTGAAGTGAATCTTTCTCCAAGCCTGCATAAAATAAAAGTCAACCCTTTTTAAACTTAAAATATATTCCTAAATGATCAATATTTGCTGAGTTTCTACCATGCAGTAGCTTAAATGGCCAACCAGAGAATTGTAAATGATGTGTTATAAGAACTTTACAAATCACCATATTTATAAGATATGTATTTTATACTATGACTAAAAAATACTGAAAAAAAACCAGATTGTTTCATCCATGAATTGAGTTGCTGAAATGGGAATTAACAAGCTCTTTAGTGACTGTCTTAACCTACTTTTTATACATCTAAAGCTCAAATTCTTTCTTGTAAACTGGTGTGCCTTTGTCTCTGGCCCATCCCTTAGCACCACTCCATTTGCTATTACTGTATGTACTTACCCTCCTCACCATCAGATCCTGTATCAACCTGACACTCCCAACCCAGAATTCTTATGTCTACTCAACTTTCCTTCTCTCCAAATTAATTTAGTTGTTCCAATACTTCATCTCACAAACCACCCTTGCAGAAGAGCTTTCAAATATCTACATCAGAAAATTTACAGATCTTTGGGATTTCCATAGGCCTAAGTGCAACCCTCAAGTTTTGAAGAGAAGCTTGCTTTTTGTCAATCATATTTTTCCTATGAATCTGGGAAGGTGATAGTGTCTAACCCCAGCATAGATTAAGATGTATAGTTGTTGATCAGTAAACAGGACTGGAAAGTTGTTACAGGAAAGTTATTACCACGAGATCTCTTAAAGGATATTTTCATCATTTTATATAATGATTAAGCCTGTCAGAATGAAATTTATTTAAATGTAAAATGAAATTTTGATTCAGTTATTTTGTATTATTTATAGAACCGTGCTTCCTTTTCACTATACAGATAGTGTAGAATTGGCTATCCCAGATGCACTGTGCTGACCTAGAACCCAGGCATGGTGGTGCACACCTGTAATCCCAGCACTGGGGAGGCTGAGACATGAGGATCACTATGAGTCTGAACTGCGTAGTGAGACCCTGTATCAAATAAGTTAAATAAATAAATAAATAAATAAATAAATAACTTAGACTGAAGTTATAGTGATAGAACCTTCACTCTCAAGTCTTATTTCTTCTTTTGGTTTCAATTAAAATGTCGTTATTTGAATATGCCAGAACTAATTTACGCCTTTGAAAATAACATAAAATGGGGCTGGGGATGTAGCTCAGCAGCATTCCTGAGTTTGATCCGTGGTACCACCAGAAAGAAAGATGAAAGAAAGAAAGAAAGAAAGAAAGAAAGAAAGAAAGAAAGAAAGAAAGAAAGAAAGAAAGAAAGAAAGAAAGAAGAAAAAAAAGAAAAAAAGAATAGAAGGAACAAAAATACTGTATAAAAAGAGTAAAATAGATTTACCATTTTTTTGTAAGGCCCAAAGTTCCAAGACTCAATATTTCTTTGTGTTTATGGGAACAGGTATTAATTTTCCAAAGGTATCTTTCAATATCTTTTTGGGGGGGTATTTTGTTTCCCCTATTCAATTGTTTCTTTAGTGGAGGTGTGATAGTATCACTTCCTCTAGGGAGAACTGTTTGGTGTTTCTAGTTTTTTCCTAGGTATATAAAACATACACTAAATTTACCCATTTTATAAAAATGGTATTGCACTGACACATTCTCAATCCTAGAACTTGCGATTTCCTCCTAAATGTGTATCTTTGTGTATCTGTAGCTGTCATAAAATACAGAGGGTTTTTTTTTTAGAATATAGTCTTTGGATGAAGATATGTTCCTTTAAAAGAATGATACATATTTTTTTCTCCATTTCTTGACGTGTAGTTGCTTTTATTGAAAACATTCTTTCTTGAATGTAGTTGTTACTAGTTTGAGTGAATTAATCAATAAAATGCCTCCATTGATAGGATAATTAATTTTCAGCATTTATGAAGTAGGATTTTCTTTCAGATAAATTTTTGTTTCAGATGAAGAAAAATGACATCCACCTGTCAAAAACATAAACACTTCCCAGAACCAATCTGTAATCTCATCAACGTTCTAATTTTGTTTGTGATACCAGAGATGTTTTATGATTGAGTAGAGTCTTACTCTGTGATGCTTATTTGACCCTCAAAAGGACTAACACAAAGAATTGAGAATTATTGTAAAGGATCCTTGTACTAAAAGGAAAACTAAGTCTTAAAAATGGCAAATACAGACACTGCTGTGGCACTGCTGCTTCAAAGAAATTGGAGCTTAAGAATTACTCAGATTTAAGATCTGCCTAGATTAAATATTCCACAAACTTTATTTGGTTATTTTCCCCTCATCTATGTTTTTCTGTTTTTTTTAAGTTTTCCACTGGTTTTACCTTTTATATTGTCTTTCTGATTTACTTTATTGATAATTTTAACTTATTCATGACCCTTATTTGTACTTCATGTCCTTCCTGTGTTATTTCTCTTTGAACTCTGACTGCCTGCAGGCTGATGCCTCCGACATTTTTGGAAACATTTTCAAATTTCTTCCTATAATTTGACTCTTCATATTTCTGGAAGCATTCCATGTTTCTACCTAGAGTTGGATTCTTCTGTGTTGCTAAATTTTTGAAGGTACTGATCCATCTTATCCATGTTTGGCTAGAACATTTTGTGCCAAAGCCTCCCATAAACATAAAGAATGGCTCCCTGTACCCAGACTCAATCAACTGTATACCAAGAGCAAAGAAAAGTTATCTGAAATGAAGAAGGGGTGTCTGAGCCTATTCCCACAGCAGGAATAGGTAGGCCAGGCTCCCTTGGAATAGTCAGTGCTTGTGACAGGCACCATACATTCCATATTTATATAATGCAACCATTAACCTGAAAATATTGCTAATTAAAAAAGCAAGGCCAACATAAGACAATTACATATATGTTATAGTTCTATAACAAATTTAATGTTACAAAAATAGCATTTAATTGCAAGAACATTTGAAAATATATAAAATAAAAAAGAAGAAAATATTCCTAATCCTCCCAGGCACAGTTTTCTGTGCATTATTCTTTAAGTGCTCAGTGTGTAGTAAGAATCAAAGTGCTATTAAAGCTCCCAAAACTATGACTAAGAAAGTATGACTAAGAGAAAAATGGGTGGAAAATATGGGAAATGAGTTTAAGGTAGACTGTAAAATAATCTCAGGATTTCATCTGTAAGAGGGCAAGGTGTTTTAGTAGGGGTGCAAGAGAAAAACACGTAAGAAAGAGGTCTGGGCTGTAGATAAAGCTTTGAGAGGCTTTTGCCTGCTTGGCTAATGAAGATATATACCTAGTACTAGGTATAGTGTAGAGAAACAGGCATTTGGCCTTATTGATAGTACTATACAGTGGCAAGATCATTTTAGTGGGATAATTTCATGAGATACTAAAATTTAGAGCATGCTTACCCTTTGATCTAGCAATTTCATGTGTAGGAGTTCATTATACAGATTTAAGTATGTAAGTATGCAAAAAATATACAGAGATTTCTTTTAAAATTGTAATTATTCTTTCCAGGAATGTTTAGTAGAATTTACCAGTGATGTCATGTGGATCTAAAGTTGTATTAGCATTAGTTCCCATCACTGAGACACTATACCAACACCCACAACTTAAAGGAGAAGAGGGTTACATTGGCACATGATTTGAGAGCATTCTAGGGTCTGTGGACTCAAGGCAGGAGCATCATGGCAGAGGGGCATGCCAGATTAAAGATGCTTAGTTTATGGTGACTGGGAAACAGGTCATTGGAACCGCACCAGAGAGAAAAAGTCCAGGGACAGGGTACAGAACCCAGGATCACACCTTCATAATCCACACCAACACACCTAAAAGTATGCTTTGTTAATCCTCCCCTAGTCATCTCCAAAGCCAATGAAGTTCTTTATTAACCTTAACATCCATAGGAACTTTCTTTATGGGAAGCATTTTGAGGATTGATTCAATTTTTCTTTTTCTTTTTGTTGTTGTTGTTGTTTTGTTTTGTTTTGAAACAAGTTCGCACTACACAGTTCAGGTTGGCCTTGAATTTGAAACAATCCTCCTGCCTCAGCCTCCCTAGTACAGGTGTGCACTAGTATGCCTGGTTTGACTGAATTTCTTCAATGATTATAAGATCTTGTTAAGTTTTATTTCATTTTTTAGTTAATTTATCTAAGAGTTTTAGTTTGTAGCAGGAAAGTTAACCCAGATATTTGGCCTGCCATATATATCACTTCATATTACAGTAATTAAGTCTACAATTTTAGTTAATGTACATATTCTTAAAAATGACTCTTTAGTTCTTAACCTTAAATGGTCAGGGCTTAAGTGAAGCATTTATTATTTCTTACTAACATTATTTATTTTATTTTCTAGCTACAACTTTCACAACTACTACTACCACTGTTACCACCAACACCATTACCACAGTTACCAGTGGCCTTAATCTGAGTGGAAGACCATTGACATCAACTGGAATTAATAACACTGACCTAGTCAGCATTTCTTCTGTACCTCTTACCTCTACTGTTAAGTAAGCCTATTTATTTGAAAATTCATGCGAGTTTTATTTTATTACATCAGAGACTCAGTTTGCTTCTGTAGCTTTGAAATAGCATCTGAAGTTAGGTAAATGAGTTTAGATAACAGAGAAAGGCTTCTGTAGCTTAGAAAGTTGAATAACCAATAGTCTTTTGCATCACATTATAATGCATTCATTAACCTTACTAGTAATACCTACTATTTTTTGTGTAATTACTGTATGTTTAGCAAGGAAACAATGGTTTAAGAACACTTAATCCCCTCAATAAAACTATGAAATATAGACTGTTTTTGTTTGCTTTTTGTAATTTAATTTAATTTAATTTTGAAGAGTAAAAACAGAAGCAAAAACAAATAGAAAATAAGGCAGAAACAGGGTAACATACATAATACATTATTATACTCTCTTTAAAATAAATTTTTAAAAAATGACAAGGAAAAAATTAAGATTTCTTTAAAGCAAGTGTTAATATTCAGTTATTTCTCCAATCTTGCATAACCATATCTGTTAATCTGAGCAACAGATTTGATGATAAAAATAGATAATATAACAACCACTGTTAATTAGCTATTTCTATTTAGGGATTATTTTTGTTCACACTTTATAGGTAAAAAAGCTGGAGCACATAGGCACTTTATGAATATAAGTCACTCATGGTCACATACTTAGTAATGACTGATCCAGAATTAAAAATCAGGCAGTTGAGCTCTCATAGGAATGTTCAACTTGAGGTCTTCAGGGTTTTTCCCCTCATTTCTTCTTTTATAATAAAAAACTTAAAGGAAAATTTCATTACTTATATACATTAACTGTATAATAAACTTTATATGTGACCCAATCAATTTCCTTTCTTTCAGAAAAAAAAAGGGGCCAACATTACTACATTACTGTAGGCCACAGGTAGGATACCCCTGCTCAAGAGCTTATGTTGTTATAGACTATACAAAACATCTGTGTGTCCTTTATATTGCTTCCCCCAATGAACACATCTTAGAATACTATAGTATAATATCACAACCAGGATGTGACATTCATAGAGTTAAGACACAGAATATTCCATCACCACAACATTCCCCTGTTGCCCTTTTATAGCCACATGTATTACCTCCTTCTGATTCCCTAACCCTGGGCCACAACTAATATCCTTATTTCTATAATCATGACATTTCAAGCATGTTATATACGTGGGTACATCCATGTGTGACTGTCAAGGATTGACATTTACTGTTTATATAATTCTTTGAAATTCACTCTAGTTGTTCTTTTTTCATCTCTGAGTAATATTCCATGGTACTGTGTAGGAGACACTTCCAGGTCCTTGTCTCGTCCAAGAAGCCACTATTTGTAATCCCAAAGTTACGTTATTGGAATCCCATCAAATTGATTCCAGTCTACCACTTACAATGCAACCCACAGCAAAGATAATGTCACTAAATTATATCTTCAATCATCGGGGAGTCAAGGGGCTCTAAGTCCAGCCATGAAGATGGCTTTCAGGAACCAAGAGAGCGACCCAGGACCTCACCCAGTTTTATTCAGTGGGGGAGTGGCTTGAGGATTGACTGAGAATAATGAGAAAGAGACTACTATGAGGTGAGCTAGGTGGGTGGCCTAAATTTACCTCTGCCATATGCAGAGAGGATATGCAGAGAGAGTAATCTGCATTACATAGTATCTAATGTTTTGGTAAGTCTGGTGCTTCAGCTTTGGTGTAGCCTTTCAAGCCCCAGGAAGTCATGGCCTCTGTCTCCAGGCTCATCCCAGCTGGCGTCGCGGGAGCATTAGCTCTACCATCCTGTCTCAACCCGGCTCACATTAAAGAGCAGCAGGTATAGGTTACCAGGGAAACACGCATGCCACTTTCAAAGACTATCACCAGCACCTCAGCTAGACCAATATACATTGCTTAAGGCCAATTGAAGGATAAACAGAAGTCCTAGGCAGCTCTGTGCATAACAATACAAGGAAATAGGGTCAGGCTCAGTCAAAATGGAGACAATCACTCTTCTTTCAAGGAGAGCTGCTCAGGTGGTCCTCCACAGTACTGTGGTATACTGTGGTTTGTTTGACCACTCATTTGTACTTCAGATTGGTACAAACATTTGTATAAACTTTTCTGTGAACATAAATTTCTTGTCTCTGGGATGTCCAGGAGTATAGCTAGTGGGTAGTATTGTGACTGTGTTTATTTAAGGAAATCATCAACTTATTTTCTGGAGTGGTTATGCCATTCTTTGTGACAACCAGCCATGTCTGAGCATCCTGGGTAGTCCATATCCTTGTCAGATTTGGATGTTGTCACTATTTTTTTGCTTGAGTTCTTCTGATAGATATGAAGTAGTATCTTGTGACTTGAAATTGCATTCTCTTCATGGCTAATAGTGTTGACCATCTTTTCAGGTGTTTGTTTGCCATAATTTTATCTTTGATGATGTGTCTGTTCATATATTTTGTGCATTTTCTACTTTGGTTATTTAGTTTTCTGCTGTTTTGTTTTGAGAGTTTGTTACATATTCTAGATACCAGTTCTTTGTCAGATAAATGTCTTAAAATTATATTCTCTAACTTGTCTATTAATATTCTTAATATTGTTCTGCTGAACAAGAACTTAGTTGAAGTGTAATTTATCAATTTTTCTTTTAATGGATTATGCATATAGTGTCAGTTATAAGAGAATACTTTTCCCAATTCAAAGATTTTCTATATTTTTCTAAAAGTTTTAGGGATCTATTGTGAGTTAATTTTTATGTAATGTGTAAGGTTTGGGTCAAGGTAATTTTCCCCATTAGGAATATACACTTGTCTTAAATGGGACCACAAAAAATATGTAATATAGAATATAGTTTATATATATATATATATATATATATATATGCAAATCTGTGGGATGTAAGTTGGGCATGTATGGTCAATGTTCAGTTTTCTCCAGCATCATTTCTTGAAAGGTTGTCTTCTTCTACTGAATAAATAGCTTTTATACCCTTAGAAGGTCTTGCTATGTTGCCTAGGATGGCTTCAAAGTCTTGGACTTAAGGGATCCTCATATTTCAGCCTCCTAAGTAGCTGGGACTTTAGGTGTATGCCACTGTGCCTGGCACTTTCACATCTTTGTCAGAAGTCATATGGGCATTTTTGTGCCAAATTCTTCTAGCCTCAGTTGAGATTCTTCTTTATCTTGGAGCCATAGATGATTACATTGCTTGGCTTTCAGATGTGAAGCCAAGTCTTGCATATCTGCCATATGTGGAATAAATCTTGCTTGATCATGTTCTAATGTGTGTGTGCATTTTGTTATACCATGTTGTAACATTGTTACTAACATGCTATAATGTGTGTGATTGTGTGTGTGTGTGTGTGTGTGTGTGTGTGTTTTCATGTGGCATTCTAATATTTTTCTTGGATACTTTGTGGCTAAGTTCATGAAAGATACTGATTTGCGATTTTTTTCTTTTTCTTATCTTTACTTTTTGATATCAGAGTAATACTTGACTTAAAAATGATCCAGGAGGTAGTCATGTTTTCTAGAAGAAATAGTGTAAAGTAGGTGTTATTTCTTAAATGTTGGTAAAATTCTTCAGTGAAACCTTCTGGGTCCAGAAAATTCCTTTACGGGATCTTTTACTTACAAACCAATTTATACATTTATTCTGGAATTATTGAAGTTCTCTCTTTCATCTTCAATAAGCTTCAGTAGCATGAAGTTTTCAAGGAACTCGCTCGTTTTCTATCTTAAATTTATAAACATAAAATTGTTCATAGTATACTTTTATTGTACTTTTAATAATCATGGAGATATTCCCATTTCATTTCTAATGTTGGGAGTTTGTTTCTTGCATCAGTTTTGTTGATCTTTTCTGCAAAAGCCAGTTTTTATTTAATTGATTATTCTCTATAATTTTCCTGTTTTCAGTTGCATTGATATGTACAACTATTACTTCCTTCCTTTGGGATTCATCAATTCATCTTGTTCTTTTTATAGTTTTTTTGACATATGAGGTTAGACTCTTATGTCTTACTTTTTCTAATGTAAACACTTGATGCAGTAAATATACCTTGCAGTACTACAGTAGCTATTTCCCACATATTTCATTCTTATATCTTTATTTCACTTTTACATACTTATAAATTTTATTTGAAAACTCCTCCTTCATCCATGGTTTATTTAGCAGTAGCTGTTTAATTTTCAAATATTTATGGATTTTCATTTTTTTCTTTCTGGACTGATTTCTAGTTTGATTCTGTTATAATCAGAACATGACCAGTATGATTTTAGTGTTTTTATTTGTTTATCTTTGCTTTATGGGTAAGTAAAGGATCTATCTTGATTACTATTCCACTGATATGTTAAAATTCTGTTTTTTGCTGTTATGTAGACTGTTCTATACATGTGAGAAGCTGTTGCTTTATTGCTGTATTAGCCGGTATGTATCTTTTTTGCTTTTCTGTGTAGTTCTTTCAGTTACAGAGAGTCGTTGTATGAAGCTCCCAACTAGTATTGTTCTCTCTTGCTTATACATTTAGAGTTGTTAGCCTTCCTTGGTGCCGATTCCTTTATCATTATGTAATGACCCTCTTTGACTCTGGTAATTCTCTTTGCTCTGTAGTCTACTTTATCCAGTACTTCTATAGCCATTCCTTTTAAAAAATTAATCTTTCATCATTTGCCAGTCTTTTACTCTCATCCTAGCTACACATTTCTTTTGAAGTGAGTTTTGTAGACAGCATATTGTGGGATTGCTTATTAGCCATTCTATCACTCTCTATCTTTTAACTGGTACATGTAAAACATTTACATTTAAAGTAATTACTGATGTGTTAGGGCTTAAGTCTGCTATTTTACTTGTTTTTACCTTTGATATTTGTTCTTCCATTTCCCTTATTTCTTACCTTCCTGTGGATTGTTTGAATATTTTAGGGTTCTACCATGTTCTTTCTTTTTTGTTTGTCTGTTTTTTTGGTTTTTTAAATTTTATTGAGAAACAAATATCAAT